GGATGGTTGCCAGGGTAACAGCACTGAGGCAGGCAGTTTGTCCTTAGCTGTCTAGCAAAACCATCAAATGATCAGGGATCTTTGTAACAGGAGGTCCCAGCAAAACTCATGGCAAATACAAATTTTCTAAGACCTATGAACAAGTAGGCACGGGCTCACAGAGTCCTTAATGCCACACTACCACCAGACTCTCTTAGAAATCCTATGGAACAGTAGGGATGATATAGGTACTGATGAGTCTCAGACCTATTTACCTCAGTTTGTTAAGGTATTTAGTGCACAAGGGGACACTTATTCTCAGAACTCTAAGATGCACAAGACTTTGGGCTGTAGCCAATGGGATGGAATAAAACTCTGTAGGCCCAAGGTCAAGAAGAATGAAAGTTGTATCTACTAGTTCAAGGCTGCCCAGCGTAAGTTGTCAGCATCTGGGCTATAATGTCAACACATGGAGAAGACCGACTCAAAATACAGAGAGGGTTATTCTATGATTAGAAAAGAAATTGGACAACGATGCCTTTACAGGCTGGGTGCCATGGCTCACACCTATAATCCCAGCACTTTGGGAGGCCAAGGCAGGCAGATCTCTTAAGGTCAGGAGTTTGAGACCAGCGTGGCCAACATGGTGAAACCCCATCTCTACTAAAAATACAAAAATTAGCCAAGCATGGCACTGGGCACCTGTAATCCCAGCCACTCAGGAGGCTGAGGCAGGAGAATCGCTTGAACCTGGGAGGCAGAGGTTGCAGTGAGCTGAGATCATGCTACTGTACTCTGCTCTGGGTGAAAGAGCAAGACTTTTTCTTAAAAAAAAAAAAGGGGGGGCTTTACATATAATTAATGAGGAACCTAATTGCTATTGCAATAATAATAATAATGCATATTGTTAATAAATAGTCACACAAATGACTATAATTGTTGAAATATTTTTACATGATCAACCCCAAAATTAGTTTTTCTGTTGTCATTAGGTTAGTTCTCAAATATCAGTGATGATTGGCATTTTTTCCCTCATGCTACATAACCAACTGGGTGAGAACACATGGTGATAATCCAGCATCTTATAAAGCAGATGCCTTAGATGCCAAAAGACAGCACTCCCTGACCCATATGTCTTATAGTGAAACTCCCCAACTTCAGCATCTGTGAGGTCCTCATCTTGGCTAGTGATATGGATTGGCTGTGCCCCCACCCAAATCTCATCTTGAATTCCAATGTGTTGTTGGAGGGACCTGGTGGGAGGTAATTGAATCATGGGGGCAGGTATTTCCCATGCTGTTCTCATGATCGTGAATACGTCTCATGAGGTCTGATAGTTTTATAAAGAGGAGTTCCCCTGCAGAAACTCTCTTTGCCTGCCGCCATCCATGTAAGACATGGCTTGTTCCTCTTTGCCTTCTACCATGATTGCGAGGCCTCCCCAGTCATGTGGAACTGCAAGTCCATTAAACTTCTTTTTCTTCCCAGTCTTGGGTATGTCTTTATCAGTAGCATGAAAACAGACTAATACAGTAAATTGGTACTAGTAGAGTGGGGCGCTGCCAAAGAGATACCCAAAAGCATGGAAGCGACTTTGGAACTAGGTAACAGGCAGGTGTTGGAACAGTTTGGAGGACTCAGAGGAAGACAGGAAAATGTGGGAAAGTTTGGAACTTCCTAGAGACTTTTGAATGGCTCTGAACAAAATGCTGATAATTATGTGGACAATGAAATCCAGTCTGAGGTAGTCTGAGATGGAGATGAGGAACTAGTTGAGAACTGGAGGAAAGGTGACTCTTGTTATGTTTTAGCAAAGAGACTTTGCTAAAAGTCTCTTTGGTGAGATTTTACCCCTGCCCTGGAGATTTGTGGAACCTTGAACTTGAGAGAGATGATTTATTGTATCTGGCAGCAGAAATTTCTAAGCAGCAAAGCATTCAAGGGGTGACTTGGGTGCTGTTAAAAGCATTCAGTTTTAAAAAGGAAACAGCATAAAAGTTTGGAAAATTTGCAGCCTGACAATAGAAAATCCCATTTTCTGAGGAGAAATTCAAGCCAGCTATAGAAATTTGCACAAATAATGAGGAGCCAAATGTTAATCACCAAAACAATGGGGAAAATGTCTCCAGGGCATGTCAGAGACCTTTGCAGCACCCCCCATCTCAAAAGTCTGGAGACATAGAAAGAAAAAGTGGTTTTGTGGGCAAGGCCCAGGGTCCCTCTGCTGTGTGCAGTCTAGGGACTTGGTGCTGTGCATCCCAGCCTCTCCAGCCATGGCTAAAAAGGGCCAAGGTACAGCTCAGGCTGTGGCTTCAGAGGGTGCAAGCCTCAAGCCTTGGCAGCTTCCACATGGTGTTGAGCCTACAAGTGCACAGAAATCAAGAATTGGGGTTTGGGAACCTCCACTTAGATTTCAGAGGATACATGGAAATGCCTGGATACCCAGGCAGAAGTTTGCGGCAGGGGTGGAGTCCTCATGGAAAATCCCTGCTAGGGTGGTGCACAAGGGAAATGTGGGGTTGGAGCCCCCACACAGAGTCCCTACTGGGGCATCACCTAGTAGAGTTGTGGGAAGAGGGTCACTGTCCTTCAGACCCCAGAATGGTAGATCCACTGACAGCTTGCACTACCCACCTGGAAAAGCCACAGACACTCAGTGCCAGCCTGTGAAAGCAGCCATGGGGGACTATACCCTGCAAAGTCACAGGGCAGAGCTGCCCAAGGCTGTGGGAGCCCACTTCTTGCATCAGCGTGACCTGGATGTGAGACATGGAGTCAAAGGAGATTATTTTGGAGCTTTAAGATTTGACTGCCCTGCTGGATTTGGGACTTGCACGGGCCCTGTAGCACCTTTGTTTTGGCCAATTTCTCCCATTCGGAATGGCTGTATTTACCCAATACCTGTACCCCCATTGTATCCAGGAAGTAACTAGCTTGCTTTTGATTTTAAAGGTTCATAGTCAGAAGGGACTTGTCTTGTCTCAGATGAGACTTTGGACTGTGGACTTTTGAGTTAATGCAGAAATGAGCTAAGACTTTGGTGGACTGTTGAAGAGACATGATTGGTTTTGAAATGTAAGGACATGAGATTTGGGAGGGGTCTGGGTGGAATGATATGGTTTGACTGTGTCCCCACCCAAATCTCATCTCAAATTCCCACATCTTTTGGGAAGGACCTGGTGGGAGGTAATTGAATCATGGGGACAGGTCTTTCCTGTGCTGTTCTCATGATAGCAAATAAGTCTCATGAGATCTGATGGTTTTAAAAAGAGGAGTTCCCCTGCACAAATTCTCTCTCTTTGCCTGCTGCCATCCATGTAAAATGCGACTTGTTCCCCCTTCCACAATGATTGTGAGGCCTCCCCAGCCATGTGGAACTGTAAGTCCATTAAACCTCTTTTTTCTCCCCAGTCTTGGGTATGTCTTCATTAGCAGCATGAAAAGGGACTAACACAGTTGGCCATGGCATTCTGAAGCCATGACACCAGAGCCCTCAGGTGGGCAAGCAGCTGACCCCTGCTCTCTCTGCCTCTACTGATTCCTGAGAGTAGGAGGATTTGATGGACAGGAAACTGTTTTTAGGGAGATGGGCTGCATATTGGGAGGACCCCTCGTGCCACAGAGGAGACAAGGGGTCTAGGAAGCAGACCACCTTCCTGTGGCTGACATTTGTGTTCAACTCCATAGTGACTATCTAGTCTATTATAGGAGTAAGTAACCTTGTGTTCCTGGAATTAGACAAATGGTAGGGTAACCTTAGGCTGTTAGGCCTGGCTTCTTACAAAGTCTTTTTATTCATTCATTCATTCATTCATTCATTCACTCACCCACTCACTGTAGATTTTTTTAATCATCTATATCATGGTAAACACTATGCCAGGTACAAAGAACAAGTGGTAGAAATCCAGTTGAAATCCCTGTGTTTATGGCCCTTATACAACAGTGAGGAGACAAACATTAACCAGTTATACAAATGGATGCTCACAGGAAGAGGTAAGAACTATGGGGAAAAAGAATAGGGTGACTTGTGATCAGGTTTCTCCTGATCTGATTAAGAAGGCAAGGAAGAGTTTCTCCTCGAGAAAGTGGCACTTTGCTGAGGTTTAGAGGATGAGCAGATCTTCACAGGGTGGTGAGGGGCAAAGGGTAGGGGATGGGTAGGAGAGAAGGGAGAGGAGGGTCCCCAGCCATGACAGAAGCCAATGTCACTAGAATCCAAAGGAGAGTGGGGGGAAACAGGGCCCAGGCTTGAGATCTCTACCTTTATTCTAAGCAAGGAGAAGATCTTAAGGAGGGCTCCCACCTGCTCAGATTTGTTTGAAAAGGGTAACTTGAATTGCAATGTAGAGAATGGATAATATGGAGGATGGAGCGGGACGGGTGGGAGAAAAAAATAACCTTATCACCTCCTTAAAACTTAGGGTTGAGAATAAGGATTAAATTTTGAGTACTGGAAAGTTGAACATATTTATTAATATACTTATTCAAAAACTGAGAGAGAGGGTGGAGAAAACCGTCAGAAAGCACTTGTATAATTTGCTCTTTTCTGGATCATGGAATGATCTCCTTCTTTAATCTCCTGTGTATTTTGGACCCTATTTTCAGAATAGTTCCACACTATATAAAGAGCACTGGGCTAAGAGTTCAGAGACCTGAGTTTCTTCCTGGCTTCCTCTCCATCTCAGCTCCCCTGGGTACTTAGTTTTTTCATGATTGAATTTGAGGATCAAATGAGATGAAATGGGAAAAAGACTGAGCAAATGCAAGGGCTCAGAGCACAGTCTTCCTTTTCTGAAAGGCATTATTTAAGTCGTGCCTTTAAATAAAATATATATGATTTGATTGATGGATATTAAAGTACATATTGTTCTTCCGAAACCCTAACATGTAATTATAAGAACACAAGGATCTGTATTATACTCTTTATTCCACGCTCAAAATACATATTTGACATCAGATTAAAGAGCCACATTTTCCAGGAGAAGCAAAATTGTCTTCTATTTTCTGTTTTTCCTTCTCAGGAAGTCTTCTGCAGTTTCCTTGGAGGAGTCTCATCTTGCTGGAAGGAACTGCTACTGAAGGTAAGGATACAACTATCCTTTTCTTCTTCAGGAAAGTAAGCTGATAGCTTGGAGTGTCCAAGGCAGAGCTGATTTCAAATAAAACATTGTTTTCCCCATAAATACATTTACTTGTAGAGAGTCTTCGGCCCTGATTTTTGGGTCAAGAATGAAGGCCATTATAATGTTCTGAAACTCTGCAGACATTATATATTATAGCAAGTTCAAAGGCAATTGCACGTCCAGGAAAACTGGCAGAGCATATTCTCAGTTCATCCATCTCCTGCGCATTCACTCCCTGCCTTGGGGAGATTTTTGAGTAACACTTTCACACTTACAAATTACAAGTGGCAAGGGAGCCTCATTTACACAGGATGACAGAGATTCTACAAAATCCATCATGTAACCAGCCTCTTATTCTCAGCTAGCAAAAATAATTGCTTTACTAACTTATTTTCACAACCACATGGGATCTCAGTCTATCCTTGTTTTAAGATAACAACCTGGACAGCACAGGGAAAATTCACTTAATTGCATTTAAAAGGAAACACTGCTTGAGTCCTTTATGGTTCTTCCCCAATCCTTCCGCACCAGCCTCTGCCTTTCCAAGTGATAATTAGGCATTAGAAGTTGGCTGTGTGATCTCAGCCAACTGCTTTTAAAGGGTGTCAGGATTTAAAGAAAGCCTTTGTGTGAACCTTTTGAAAGAGCGCTAAGTCTTGCACATCTAGGGCCCCCTCATACCAGCCTGGGTTCCTGGTAGATGCCTTCAGAATGAACAAATGGCCAACTGCTTTGCTAAAGAAGCCTTTTTTAGTTTGAGCCTTCTTTCTGAATGGGCTACCCTGTAACGCTTCTAATTTCTTTTCTTTTATTTCTTTTTCCTTGAAATAGAGTCTCACTCTTTCACCCAGGCTGGAATTCAGTGACACAATCATAGCTCACTGCAGCCTCAACCTCCTGGGATCATGAAATCCTCCGACTTCAGCCTCCTGAGTAGCTGAGACCACAGTGCACGCCACCATGCCCAGCTTATTTTTAATTTTTTTGTAGAGATAAGGTCTCCCTGTGTTGCCCAGGCTGATCTGGAACTCCTGGGTTCAAGTGATCCTCCCCCTCGACTTTCCAAAGTGTTGGAATTACAGGCATGAGCCACTGCACCTGGCTCCCTTAATTTCTTAATGTAACTATTATTCATTTGGAGGGAAGTTGTTCATAATGCTCTGAGAAGTATTTTAATTGGAATATAATGCGAATCATGAAACTTCTACTTTACCTGGCCAGAAAAAGTCCTCAGGGCACAAAGGAAGTGAGGGAGGTTTGGCTTCCACCCAAGTCACCCAGTGATATCCAGGGTTGGTTATGTTTGACTGGCTTTGCCTCTCACCATTCTGTATATGCTCTTTTAAGATTGGGACTCTATTACAAAGTCTGGTCTTTCAGTTAAGGCCATATAATCGATGGGATCACCCTACTTGAAGTCTTTCAGATGCTGTGAGTTGAGTCTCATAATTGCTGCCCATTCAATACTCGGGCAATGGGGATTTGGCAATAGAAAAAACACTGTGCAAACTCCGGAGGTGTCTTTAAATTATCGTATGTTACAGTCGGATAGGGCATTTTAACTTACGGAGCTCTTTGCCATCCATTATCTTATTTAATTCTCAAATTATGAACAAGGCAAAGTAAGAATTATTATCCTCACTTTCAAGATAAAGAACCAGACTCAGTTCCAGGGGCTAGCTTGGCATCACATAGTTGGAGCTAGACCCAAGGCTTTTATTTCCACAACAGCTGGTCCACTTTCCACCTTAACCCAGGGAGTCAGTAATGATGAAGATTTTCAGAGTAGCCTCAGAGGTTATCGAGCATCTCTGTAGACATGGCTACAGATGTACACTGTGTTCATACAGCAAATCTGAAAGGATGAGGTGAGACTGTGTTTTCTGAGTAAAGATCCCTTTGTAAACATTGCTGCTGGTGATTATACTATCCTCTTATCCATAGACCTGTAATTGCTTTTGGTTTTGTAAACACTTTATGGTGCCCTCCTTCACCAATTATGCTTCAACCAACACCCCAGCCACAATTTTATTCCCCTCTACCCAAAGCTGGGGTTGGGGCATCAGAAGTGGGAGTGAAGCATGGAGTGCTGGAATAAAAAAGGTGAGATCATTAGGATCACAATATGCATCTTCGCTAAGGGGACTCCAAACTGGAGTCAATGAATGATATACTCCAGGTGGGGCATATGGCAAACAAGAATGCACGCTCCTTCTAAAATTGGCATCCAGTAATCAGTTCCAACTGATGCTGCCATGATTCTAATCAGGCCCAAAATTGACAGGTCTTGAGATATTTTTCCAAGAGAATCTGGAAATCCAGAATTTTGCATCACTTTTCCTGACTGGATCATTAAATATTAACAGCAAATACAAACATTTTAAAATCGCTGCAGACCAAAAAAAAAAAAAAAGCAAAACTTTGTGAGTCTCTTTTGCAACCTCTGCTCTTTATAACTGTGAGTAAACTGGGTATTTTTAGGAGAAATGCACCAGGACAGAGATGTGGATAGATGTAACTTTATTTCCTGCAAGCTCCTGCATCTTTTCCATCTTTGTGAGAACAGAAAGACAGAAGGGATTAAACAGCTGGAACCAGCATACATACAGAGCTACCAAATTATCACTCTTAGTTGTGACAATTTGCATATCTACTTTTCCTCCTTCTAAGAATAGTTCTCACCTCTCTCCTGTCTATTGCCTGGTGGATGAGACCTGTATGCCTTCCTGTGGGCATCCACAGATCGCACGCTGGGGCAAGGACAATATACAGACCTCTGCTCACTAGCTAACACCACACTCTCCCCTCTCGTCCAGGAAAGTGTATTGAAGTCTAAATAAGTGAGAACGCTAAAAATAACACAATGGCTTTTACTGACTTTATTTTTTTTAAGTAAATTCATCACAATCATTGATATTTTATCTACCATTGATAATTACTTACTTGTGGCACAACTCACAAATGTTGGGACAGCATGTTTAAGAAATATTTTTAAAAACAAAAATAAATTTGAAGATGCATTGCTAAGCTTCCCAGACAGACCAGTACTCTCTGCCTCTGGGATCATCAGCCAAGGCATGGTGGGCTGGGTTGACCCCCCCCAGCTCATACAGTCATATTTAGAGTATCTGGGACAAGGGTCTTAGGAACTTCACCAGAGACATTTGGACCCTTAAGATAGGACAGGAGAAATAAAAGACCTTTTTCTCCAAAGCAATCAGTGAGTTAGAGTCCAAACATTTTCATCTAACTGGCAACAGGGAACCCCACTTGGACCGGTGCTTGGATGATGCTAAGTCAAGTCCTGCTCAGCAGCAAAAACCAAGAAGGAGCCCACGTAATCCACAATCTTTCCTCCGTGAATTGATCCAGAAGATGCAGAAACTGAACCCCAGTGCTTTCCCTGTTACCTCCTCATTTAGGATGATCTGTTTCTTTTCCATTGCATTAGAAAATAAAAATTCAAAACACAGAATAGAAACCATACTCAGAAAGAAGACAGAGACAAAGAGGTGACTGGCAATTTGATGGCATACATCTCCTTGGGAGAAGGTGTCTGAATCTTAAAGTCAGACGATGACAAAAACGAGAGCAGAAACAAGTCTATTTTTTCTCTAGGTCACCATAGGGAACCAATCTAACCTATTTACAAGTGGTCTCAGGGGAACTATCTTTAAATAGCTATCTTGTCACCATCCTTTTCATCATCTTCCACGATTGCTTTGGGTCTCTCGTCCCTGAGCAATGTCACACCTGCAAAACAAAGCACAGACCTGCAATTAAGTGTCTCTAATTAAAACATTAGGCAAACTTGCTGATAGACACAGTACAAAGGAGCATGGCAACCCAGAAACCTTAGTGTCTACAAGGCTAGCTGCTAAAAGTGCCAACCCAGAGAGGGAGCTGGGTGGCTTTATCTGGCCTTCCCAGAGGTGCTCAATGAGGACACTATTCTGGTTACAAAGGGATGCACCACCTGGAAGTCAGAGGCAGCCTTCATCTTCTTCTCTAAGTTCTGCTCCTAAGCTTGCAGCATGGAGGGATAGAAAGTAACCAATTGCTTTGCACTCACAGTTCTGCCACTCACTTAATCTGTGTCGGGCCAGAAAACACATTCACATCTAAGTCTTCTCAATATAAAATGAGGACAGTAACAATTATTATAAAGGATTATTGTGACAATTAAATAAGATATATGTCACAATATCTTATTGTGCAACTAAACAATATCTTATAGAGCAACTAAATGTCGGCTTTTCCTTTCCCTTTAATATTTGCTCGTTTATTTACCTTTCGAAAAGAACTGGTAAGCCTCAAGAAGTCAAACTTAAAAGCATTTTACATCCAGGGAAATATTGAGCTCAGGCTCTGGACATGCCATTTCCAAATGTCAGTACTGTACCAGGAGGTGATGACGTTCACATGGTTTGGAGCAAAATGAGAAAATAAGGAAAGTGTACTGAGCTTTTCATATGGCTGTATGCCTACACTTTTAAAAGCTGCTCTTTATTTTGAGATTATTTTTTCTTCTTTTGGGGATTAAAGTATCCTTTGTTTTATGAAATTTTAGAGATGTTAGAAGGTTTTTAAAATGCAGCCTTATAAAGCAAAATAAAAAGTTGCTGTTCCTATGTTGGGCTCCACAGTATTTTGTTTAAAAAATGTACTGGGCCAGGCATGGTGGCTCATGCCTATAATCCCAGCACTTTGAGAGGCCGAGGTGGGTGGATCACCTGAGGTCAGGGGTTACACAGCAGCCTGGTCAACATGGTGAAACCCCATCTCTAGGAAAAACACAAAAATTAGCCAGGCATGGTGGCGGGCGCCTGTAATCCCAGCTACACATGAGGCTGAGGCAGAAGAATCCCTTGAACCCAGAGACAGAGATTGCAGTGTGCCAAGATTATACTACTGTACTCTAGCCTGGGCAACAGGGCAAGACTCCGTCTCAAAAAAAA